CGGAAGAGGTGTCAGAAAAAAGCAATATAAAATTATCATCATGACATGTATATTTATAGTAAGTATATATCGCAAAACATACAAAACTTATTTTCGAAATAAAATTTACCTTTAATAGAGCTTTACCATCCTTGTCCTTATCTTCGGGTTTCAGCACAATTCCCAATTTTTGCAAAAGAGTATCTGCCTCCTCTTTCTTATAATTCATGATACTATCGAAAACCTAGAAATAAATTTAATTTTTGAAACTTTTAGGTGATACTAGATCATAATTGAATTTAGATAACAAAAGACTAAGAGAGTGCTTACCTTATAAATCGGATCTAAAACGTACATGCAGAAGGATCGTTTATTATCGGTCTCCTTCTGTTTGCTCCATTTCTTGGTCTTGGGATTAAAGAAAGACTCGCCCCACAGTCTGTTCATAAGTTTCACTACGTCGATCTTGAATTTCTCAGCATACATCTCAGAGAATTGTTTTAGAGTAAATGCCCAGCCATGGAGCCCCGAACCAAAACCTACAGAGCCCTTACTGGGATCTACCTGTTTTACAAATATATTATATTTAAATAGACACTTTGTAGGTATAATAATAGTTATCATCCAAAAGTGAAAATAGATTTATTGTACATACTCTAACTTCACCCATAGGACCATCATCATCAGAGTACGTCGCAATAATAACGTTAACATTTTCAACAATACGTTGGAAAGTTTGATAGAGATCTTCGCTATCCAACTGGAGTTCTAACAGTGCACGGTCCATTTTGTTCATAAATAAAACAGGTTTGATACGCTCTGCGATCGCCTGGCGCAGTACAGTTTCGGTTTGTACACATACACCTAGAAAGAAACAAGAAAATAATTATAAGTGTTTTTCTCTCATTTCGAAATAAAAACATATATTATGATGTTAAAATCTTTGTAAAAATTGTATTTCACAAATATATTCTCCAAAATCATATGCTAACATTATAAGAAAATAAAGGATTTGTAGCACTTGTGTCGTAGCATATTAGTAACGGACATAAGGATAGAGGTCCACTAACAGCGTTTAAACACATTTACTCTTTACTTTTCTTCCATTGCACTGTCAACACTGTCAATGTATATCGATCAGTTGCAAGTGCAAACCAAACAACATACTGTAGAGTAACCCTTGTGTGCTGGAAGATCAATCTATTCAATTGTGCTAAAGAAACCAATATAGAAATAGTAAATAAAAAAAAAA